GAGCCGGTTAGAGATGTCAGTGATTTTGTCTTCCAACTGCTGTTGATTTGTTTTGATTTCATTTACAACCATTAGTAGTTTAGACTGACCATCTTGAAGCAGTTTGCACATGTCGTCAAGCTGTTTGTTACGCGTTTCAGGACCGGGGTTTACCTCAACGTCGCCGCATAGCATCAGCAATTTTACAACATCTCTACTCTGACCGACGATCGAGAACAACTCCCGTGGGCATGGGAACACCAAAAGAAAAACGTCGCTTGATTTTTTAGTGTACAAAGAATCGATATTACTAACCTGCGTACAGAAGAAGCGAAAAACGTTAGCCGTCCGCATCGTATGGCTGTTCCCATGCCCAGTGAAAGCATAGGCGATCGGCCGGTCCCTCTTATCGTGTGGCGCCGCTGATGTCGCTGATGATGAGGCTGGCCTCTCGAACGTTTTTGGCAGGATGGTGGGCGTGTCCGGTGGGAGACGAAGTGGCGTGTTCTTGTTGATGACTGGCAGTTTACCCGCCGCTGTGACAGGTTTTGCGAGTAGAACTGTAGAACTTGAATCCACTGTTGGTAGGAAGCATGTGCTGAACATCAACTGCGTACAGAAGAAGCGAAAAACGTTAGCCGTCCGCATCGTATGGCTGTTCCCATGCCCAGTGAAAGCATAGGCGATCGGCCGGTCCCTCTTATCGTGTGGCGCCGCTGATGTCGCTGATGATGAGGCTGGCCTCTCGAACGTTTTTGGCAGGATGGTGGGCGTGTCCGGTGGGAGACGAAGTGGCGTGTTCTTGTTGATGACTGGCAGTTTACCCGCCGCTGTGACAGGTTTTGCGAGTCGAACTGTAGAACTTGAATCCACTGTTGGTAGGAAGCATGTGCTGAACATCAACTGCGTACAGAAGAAGCGAAAAACGTTAGCCGTCCGCATCGTATGGCTGTTCCCATGCCCAGTCCATACTAACTCATTACTTCACAACCGACTGCTGAATCAACCTTCATATTTCACCTCGCATTGATCATATGTATAAAGTAGACATTCTAAAATGCAACACTAATGCATTCCAAGAGTCATTCATTCCGAAAACTTCAGTGGATTGGAACCACCTTCCCGCATCTATCGCAACAATTGTTCCTGACCATTTATTTAGGACTGCCATAAATAATCTATACTGCTCAGATTGAGCTGCGAAGTGTACTACTGCCACTAACCCCCACTCTTCTCTGTAATGCCAATGGCCTTGAGGGTATTTTAAATAAATAAATAAATAAATAAATAAATAAATTTAGATTTCTTGCTGTCGGTGCTGCTGGGGCGACATCATTAAACCTCCTACGGAAGAGATGGTTGGCTTCACTACACGGCAGGTCTGTACGCCTAGGTGGCTCCACCGCACGGCAACCACCGTACTATGTGCCCTCTCCCTTCCGCTTGCCAGTGCTCGGAGCTGACAGGCATAGTTTAACTTCCAGACACATCTCGCTTTCAGGGGTGTGCATGCACTCAATATGACAAATAAAAAAAAGTACTGCATTTTTCTTGAAAAAAATGCTTGAGGTACACCTAAGCATTTCTTATGAGCTGTGAATGCGAAACCATGCAAGCCGCTCGTCCGCTCCCTTTGTCGTCTGCTGCGTCCTGCTTCGGGATCTCGGAGGCCATGGCGCAGCGGTCAATGGGAGCCACGTCGACGCGCGGCAGTCAATGGAACCGAAGGCGAATCGCTCCTATTGGGATCGCGGAAACTAGGAGCCGTTTTCGCGCTTCAAACTGATGACGTCAGCTCGTTCCATGAGACAGTTAATGCTTTCGCATTAAAACAAATTCAGTTGCAAGACACGGTGTCATCGCGCTTTGACGTCGGGACGCGGTTGATAATTAACAGTGCCTCTATCGCTTTCGGCTGCTGAAGAAGTGCTGCTATTAGCTCAACCCTGTTGCCACCATGCGGAATGTCGTACGCAACGGCCTGCCTCACACAGGGGAGCGCTTTCTCTCCCATATTCGCGGTCTTGTATATTTAATTTGCTGGATTGAGTGGCAGCTTTGAAGGCGAATATCTCAAAACGCGAGCGAGTTGCTATAATTACATAAAATAAAATTATATTGGAATTCGACCGGCTTGAGGTTGATACTATGAACATATATCCTAATTACAATATACACAAAGCTTAAACGAATTGTAAATAATTTATAAATTAAGAGCCACGATTATCCTTCCATAGAGTATCCACCTGGGAGGATAACCTAGGCGCAAAATCGAAATTTGCGTAGACTTCCAAACATTGCTTTTTGAGAAAAAAAAAAAAAAAGAAACCGTACATAGCTTCCTTTTGAACACGCCGTTTAAATAAGTAAGTGGAAGAGGAATGATGACAGTTTTTCGTATGTATATAAAGTAAGACGAATAAAAAACAACGGTAAATTAGAGAAACAAGTGAGCGTGATTTCAGACTTCTCTAATATGTAAATGCTCGTGAAAAGTTAAAAAAAGCAAAACACAAACAAGCAGAGCATTTCACTTACAAGTCACTTATCCCTTCTAAATTTACTGTTATAAGCCACTTAGCTCTTCTAAATAAATTGAATTACATGCACTCTAATGTAGATGGTCAAGAACACCAAATATCTTTAACCAAGTTCTTTTTTATGTTCAATCTGTACTCCTTTCTGTCTTTCTTTCTTTGTGTGTCGACTAATATTAAGCTACATTTTTTTCCTCACCCACAGGGTTTCATTTTCTCAGTTTCTGATATCAAAATTCACCTCCCGCAGAGACAGAAAAAAGAAATAGTAACTGTTGGCATATACGTATTTCAGTATTTAATTACACAACTATCAAAGGTCTTCTTATTTGGGGTCTCTGGAAGTTTAATAATTTAAATAAGCGTATGCATAGACTTACTGATCAAAAGAGAGGTGAAACCTCAAAGCCGCCGGAGAACAGGAATTAGCCGTGTCCGAGTTCGGCTCTCAGTAATCATTGTTTGTTTCGGCCCCTCTCAAAGTTCATTCCTCTTTGATCACCGCGGTTCATTCGTCTGCACATTTTAAATAATAATTTATTACGAAAGAGGGGCTTGTTTTTGGAAGTCGTAAGGGAGTACTTTCCTATTCACGGAATGGAAGCAATCAAGTTAAGTAGACGTAATACCCGTCCATTTACGTTGATGGAAAACGAAAACCTGGGGAACGACTAGTCTTTCTGTATGTCTTCGATCCCTAAGGCTCGCTCAGATGTCACGTCACGTGCGTCTTCGGGACTCTCCCTCGACATTTTCAATATTAGATAAACACGACCTAGTTCAAGTCCACAGATTTTCTTTTCTTATTTTTATTAAATATATAGGTTGTCGAGATGGGACCACAGCTCCCCATTTCTCGATACTCTCATTTCGCGTTTTTCTCTCTCTATATCCCCCCCGACTCCTTTCAATCCCCTAGAGAAAAAAGCATGATAGGTTCCATCGAAAGGGGATGCTATATTGTTGGTATGACTTGGACCAATGCCTTGCATTTAAGGAAAGCTAAAATGTAGATATTTTTTAATGAGTTAATGCTTTTTTTTTGCGTAGTTTTTCCTGGAAAATCTAAATATCACCGTTATTTGTTTTCAAAATGGCACTAAATGTGAAAAAAAATTGAAAAACGTGCAGCCGCTAGCCGCCGACGAACGTCATTGGTTAGTCGAGCCGTGATGTCATAAAATGAGCAAGCGCGAGTCTAATTGCATCTGTCGCTCAGCTATCAATAGGAAATTCTTACCTCGTTTCGTCTCCACTTCGCGTAAGCTCCTCGGATTTGCTAGGTGCTTGCCTCTTTGGTAGAAAGATACTCGAAACTGCCCGACTGGCAACCATTTACTCAGGATGACCTCTTCTTCCACACTTAGTAATTGGTGCGGAAGATCTTCAGTAAATAGTTGCTAGTCCAGCCGTTAGTTTGACTTTTTTTTTCTATCTCTCTCTCTTTTTGTGTATATTCCTACGTTCAGCTGGCATCTTTCAGAAGCATGAATCCCCAACTAGGTCAATATCGACGATTCACGACGCTGGTTCTGCGAGTCGAGGGGCACGTGTGACGAATATTTCGTGACGTCATTTTTTCTCTTCTCCTATTACTGCCCGCTCATTCTGCCGCGGAGGGGCGTGGTTTCAATGCAACTTCAAAGGTGTCTTTCTAGATAATGTGGGCATGATAGAGCCTACTTTTTGTGACAAAGGTGACGCTTGGAGTCGGTTAAAAAAAAAAAAAGAAGAAATCAAGTGCGTTTAATGAAACTCAAAACCGCTTCAGCTTCCCTTTGATAGGAATGCGAAGATATTTTATGGCACACAGAAGGCGTACAATATTCTTACCATGCGCGATGAGTGAAAACACAAAGAGTACAACACCTTGGGAAGGGGGGGGGGGGGGGGGTCGTCCTCTTTTTGTCAAGAGTGTCGAGGTTTCGTTGATTAGAATGTACCTTCTGCAGTTAATTTGCGCCCTTACGTTTGGTTCTCTCATATATTGTATTCTCGGTTTTCTAACTTAAAACTACTCTAGAAAGCAACAAAAATATTTAAGAAATCTTTGTTTTGCAAATTACAATGAGCACGTAAAAAGAGTGTTCTGCTACAGATGGAGGTTTAATTGTTAACTATGACGCTAGCTTCATAGCTTCGCTTACGTAAGGTTTATTCAAGGTTCAACTCACGAGCCGAAATTTGCCTGATATTGTGTTTTGTATACAAAAAGAAATTAACTCGCGACTGCAACCGCTCTACTGAACGATTTCCACTTCGTACTCACGAGAAAAAAAAACTTTAAGGCGCTCCTTTGATATTCTCCATACCGGGACATTTGTCCCGTATACAAATTGCGATATACTCGCAAATCTCGCAATATTGTGACGTCACGATATAAAGTCGTGCCGTAACAGTGGGGTCGCGTAGCACAGTGTCACAACACATAACGTGCCACTGTGACAGGATGTCACGCCGCCGTCATTCGCTCGCGCAGCGTACCTGCTTGAAGTCTAGAATGGCCTCGGTGAAGAACTTGAGGCCCATGACCTCCTCGTCCTCGCGTCCGTAGCGGAAGGTGAGCAGCACCATGGCGTACACGCGTCGATCCTTGAGGTAGGCCGGGTCCACGAGCACGACGCCGTCGATGGCGCTCACCGTGGTGCGGCTCGTGGCGTGCACGAACTCCCGCGTGCTCAGGTACAGGGTCAGCCGGCTGTTGGGACTCTGCTTCTTGTACACCCTGCCGAGGGAACCGGGAGTGCAGTGCGTTAGTTGGCTGGAAACAAACTCTGGGTTTTCGCACTTCTATGATAGAGGTAACGTGTTTCTGCGGTATGGTCTAAACTTCTGGTCACGCCAATCGACGCGATTAAGCGGCTCTGCCTAAATGCAGCAAAAGGGACACTATAAACTCAGTTTCACTCTCAAGTTTGGCCGTCGCCGACGCTACTATCTCATGAAGTCAATCACGCAGCGCCAAAATTGCATCGACACAGCTCTCGTTGTCTTTGTATGTTTGATAGTCCCGGCTAAACCAGTCACTCACAGTGAATGCCGCATGATCCTGTACATATAAAGCAATAGTGGCACTTTGCAGGGATTTCGGTGTCGGCGTTTGTTGTGTGTCGTCACAGCGGAAAAAAAAACAAAAAAAAACGAAAAACTCCTTTTTTCTTTTTATGCCGCTAGAGAGAGAGAGAGAGAGAGCCCCGACGACCGGCCAATAACGGCGCAACGACGAGGAAACTTGAGCGGAGCGTGTTTCACAGTCGTCAAATGAAGGTAACTTCAAAAACAGGTGTTTTGAAACATTAAGGGCTCGATATAGTCCGACGTAACGTGGTATAGCGCGCGCGCGCACCATATGGTTACGTGACGTTGGCGACGAGCCGGCACTTAAAGGGATTGTCCGGTCGAAACCGGAAGTACTTAAGTTCTTGCGCTCGTTAGGTCGAGGGAGCCTCCATGTAAACAAACGTCATTTTTATTTTGATATATTATCTCCCGTTATTAATTAAACCTTTCATGAGCGTACGTACGAAACTGCACCCCGAATTTCGCCAGTGTCAATGGCTGACATCCGTAGGTGCTGCGTGACGTCACAAAACGCAAAGGTTTGTCGGATGGTCGGGATTACAAGCGTTGGTCGATGGTTGTCTTGTATTTTGTTTCGAATTATACAGTCTCCTAGGCTGTACCCTACTTAAATAAGGTTCTTTTAATGCAGTTCCCCAGCTTGTGCAAAAAAAGTCACACCTTTTAGCAGGAAATTACTCGCAGACAGCCGTAAGCTTCGAGCAAACGTATGCCGTTTTGAGCAAACACAACTGCGACGGCCACCGATCGAACTAGGGGCGCTTGCAAAGCAGAGGATGCAGATTTCGCCTCTGAAGCGGCACCTAAGTACACGAAGCGGAATCTGGGTACCAATGTCAGCGGATCCACTGGATCGGTGATGAGGCTGCGGGTCGTTCCCTCAGAGGGGATGTCCGCGGGTCGAAGACAAACGGCGAATCGTTCAAATGCACGTCGTCACTTGACTTGGACGAGCTTGGTAACTCGTAGCCACGCTCCATTTCCACACGCGGGTCAAACAGGATCGGGCTGCAAGCGTGCTAAATACAACTTCTGGTATCGTTTCCAGATGGCCTAGCTGTTGGTTTCGGTTTCGCCGCATTATCAAATTGATTAATTCGATTTGGGCGAGGAGTGGATGGATATAGTTCAATATCGTTGGCGCAGCATCACACCTTAGCTTACGAGCCTTCTGTCCGCTTAGAGCTCAGCTCGTAGCTCTCTTCTGTGAGATGATTGCTGCATAAGCGCGATCTCGATCTCGACGGGAACCTAGCCCCTACGCACGGCAACGATCCACTTCGCTCGACACTGCACGTCTCACGGAAAAGTGTGGAACGTCATGTCTTAGCTCGCACGTGCTGCCCGGTGGTTGTGGCACCCAACCACGCTACAAAAATCTAACCCAACTACGAAACAAGTCGAGCACAACAACAAAAACGAAGCACGCTGAAGCAGACAAAAATGCTCGCTTTGTGTTCTGTGACGTCAGAGCTTCAATGTTGCCAACGAAAGCAGCGTTTACGCTAGAATGCGATTGGAGCAGCATAAATTCAATTACTCACGCAGAGGGGCATATAAAATTCAGATATTGCACGTACGACCCGTCTCGAGGCAGTCACAATGATATTCAATTGTTTTCTCGAATACAAAACTTGACCGGACAATCCCTTTAACAGTCCGGCGCCTCGGCGTAGCCAGCGCATCCGGCGGCGGCTGGCGCGCTTCGGCGGCCCCGGAGCGAAATAGGTGTCGCTGTATTTTGCGCCAGGCTCGCCAGACCAATGCTCCGCGCGTGCGCGCCGCTCTTGCGCAGTAGCACCCGGAATCCCCGAGCCTGGGAGTGACGGCGGCCCGGGGTGATAATTCTGGTCATCTGCAAGAAATATCTGCATTCCTTGCTGACATTTCTTCAAAATACATGTTATACCTAATGTAATCCCATTAACATCAATGGGAAAACATCTACTAAACTTTAAATAACGTGCCACAATATATATATATATATATATATATATATATATATATATATATATATATATATATATATGTATATATATATATATGTATATACAGGGTGAAACAAGGAGACTCCAGGCTCTTTAAATCGACCGGAAAATTCGGTTTCTTAACCTATCGTGCTACGACTTTATGCAGCGTTGCCCACAGATGGTGCATTGTTTTTGTAAAATTTGCGAAGAGCGAACTTACCTGAGGAAAACGTAAAGAAAGAAAAAGGCTTAGCGCTTATGAAAACGCAGCGACGCCACCGGTCTGGAAACAACACGGCGCCGTTTCGCACGGAAGACAAGAGATGGCGCAAGCGGTCGCGACGCCAACTGCCGCCAACGAACGAGCAGAGACGCCGAGAGCCGGTTCTTTTGCAGACAAGGAACTGCAGTTCCTTGCTGTTGCTACAGTGGCTTAAAGGCGCTTAAGCCGCTGTACTGTTACCGCGCCTGTCTTTTTTGTTTTTGCGACTGTCGCCGCCTGCGGAACGCGCTCCGCTTTTGAGTCGAAAAGATCGTCTGCTAAAAAGGCCTGCTCTCGGCGCCGTATGCTCGTTCGTTGGCGGCGTTTGTTGCGCCATCTCTTGTCTCCCGTGGGAAACGGCGCCGTGTTGTTTGCAGACCGGTGGCGTCGCTGCGTTTTATAGGAGCTAAGCCTTTTTCTTTCTTTACTTTTTCCTCGGGTAAGTTCGCTCTTCGCAAATTTTACAAAACAAAAGCACCATCTGTGGGAAACGCTGCACAAAATCGTAGCGCGATAGGTTAAGAAACCGAATTTTCCAGTCGATTTAAAGAGCCTGGCGTCTCCTTGTTTCACCCTGTATATATATATATTATTTCTTTAAACGATGAAGTTAAGGCAAATTGTAAACAAAGATTCCGATAAAATGAAAGAAATAGGAAGTTTGAACGGAAGATAACCAATTAAAATATCACACTGAACCAGGAGTCGTCGAGGATCGAGACTAAGGTAATAAAGTTATCTTTGAGTCAAGGCAACTGATGGGCGTGTTGAGGCAGGCATCGATCCCTGTGGACAGAATGTCTTGTGTCTCGTAAAGCTCTCGAGTTCTCCTCTTTCCAAGGAATTTTATAATTTTTGTGTGGCTTAACAAAGCGGTGCACTTGCTACCGCTTACATGCAGCGAACGTTCAACCAACTAGCCCATCAGATGATCTCGAGTCTGATGCACGCGCCGGTACTACAGACTAGTGAGAGGTTCGTAAAAAGGAGTAGAGCTGGCATGCCCGGCGAGAGCGCATATGCTACATGACACGCCGCCCGACTCGGCAGCATCCATTTATCAATTTCTCTAACTATTCCGTCATGGGCATAGTCCCCGCGTCGATGTGCGGCGGCGTGGAAGTTGGACTGTAGAGGGGTGCATCTCTGGCGCGGCGTGGCACCGACCACCGCTGGCGGCCATGTTGAAAACGTCGGACTACATGGAGCCCTTTACTCGCGTTATACCGAAGCCCACTTTGGCAGTATCCAGTTGTTACGCATAATTTTGTAGGGTTTTAGAAACTTCCACCGGCGTTCGATTTCACTTTTGGCAAGGAGATCGAACTATAGAGGGCGCTCTGGCAGGTTTGTTTTCCCCCCAGACCTCGGTGTTTACCCAATACAATGCCTGCGGAGATGCTCACAGGCGTTGTGGGCACGTCCATGTCATAATGTTTATGTTATCTTATTCAATAGGTGACCGGTGTTTGGTAGCCGCCGCAAAGCACTCTGGGTATTATTCACTTCCGGTTCGTCGCTAGCAGCCGACGCAGCACCATGACGGCTATGGAAGTCTTTGCGGGTGTTGAACCCTAAAAATTCGAGTCACCTTTCTCTGCTGCTGGGTGACTTACGAATTTCTGAGCGTCTGAAGTTACTTCTACGGATATGTTCTGTGAGAATCGGTAAGCAGAAGCGTCGAGAACGGCCATGAAAGTGCGGAGCGAGTGCGGCCGGCGGCAAATTGCACTGTCGCCGCGCTTTCCGCATCTTCGCACGAGAACTCAGGCTAGGTTAGCTAGTTTCTTTTCTTTTTGAGCCAGCGTTCTTGATTGCCTTTTGTTTATTTTTGATAGTTACGTTAGGTCACATCACCAACTGAAATAGGTGCGAATATACGCCGTGGGACGCAGCTAGCTGAAATGTCCGATCGGAGCTTTGGCGAACTTTTCTCGTGTCCTTTAACACCTAAAACTGTAATACAAAAAAAAAAAAAAAAAAAAAAAAGACACCGAAGGGGACGTTTTAATCCCAGATCTTTCATTGTGATTTCGCCATTTCAGATGCAGATTTAGTTGCGAAGAACACATCCATCCTTGAGGGTTTTACGTTGATACAAAACTTTGGTCAATTCCTCATGTCTTGCTAGAAATGGACACATCACATGGACTTACCACGCGCGTATACTGGTACATTGGACGAAATGTACTTCCTTTTAAAAGTTCCTTTCAACGACATCGAATTATGCCGGAACTCTTGCTTTTAAACACTCGCGTATTTTTCGTACTTCAATTAGGGTGTCCCTCGTGTGCCATGTCTCTACAGCAGCAAGTTTTTTTTTTATGTTGTGGAGTAAGAAAGCATGCATGAACATGCACACATTTTGACGTGGGCTGCGTAGGGTCGTGCGACAGCTTTATTATCCGCCAAGGTGTAGCTTCCTGCTTTATTTTGTTTATTTATATTATAACAAGCTGAGGATCAGGTGCATAAGGTGGATATCTGTTGGCCGAGTTTCAATGACTGCTCTTAAGTTATTTCAGATTGTGAAAAGCGACCGCGCTATAAATCTTCAGAGCCCATACAAATAAATACAGCTCAAAGTCACTGCTGTCGATGAAACGGTTTGTCGACGAAACGTCGTGCGAGCAATCTAACGTCTGCGAGATCAGATCCCGCGTTCTCGCGGATGCCTTTTACGACAAGCCGTGCTCACCCCTTCGCGGATTAATCGAGACCTTTTCTTAGGT